CGAATTGCATATTTACAAATTTGAGCTTCTGTTTGCTTAATAAATTTTTTACATTTCATCGAAAGAAGAGCTTTTCAAAAAAATATTTTATAATAATATAAAAAAAAAATCTTTATCGATCGTATAACAATTTTGTGTGACATCGACATTCCCTGCTGTAGATTTCAAGACACGATTTAGTGACATGCACTTATAGGTTTTTTTTTTAAGAGACTTACAAAATTTTTTACCATGATATATTGCTTATTGTTTTTTTTTTTTTTTTTAATTTATTTATTTTCACAGATACATATCCAGGTTATTCTATCCGATCTTGTACATCTTAATCTGGAACCAAATGAACTTCCGAAATTTCCGGCTTTAGTTAGTATGGTTGCGTTAGTACAAGAGCCTCCTGATATTAATGGTGAGGACGCGTTTATAACTGTTACGGTAACCGACTATATAGATCAAGATCAATGTGATACCCAAATAAAATGCTACTATCTGGCTACTGTACTCCATTTAGTTCGCATAACTCCAGCCATAAAAAAGAATTTAGTTCTCTACATCAATAGTGAATTTATTTTACACAATAATGAAAATTATGTACATGTCAAAAATATTTCCTTTTCTGGTCATCAAAAAATGTTAATGATTGTAGAAAGTTCATCTAAAATTCTCTGAGAACCTGAAATTTCTGATGGGTTGAGTAAAGCCATTAGTTTTGCTGAAACAATAGCCGCAAGATTTGGTAACAAGCATACTAAAAATAAAACTTGTCATCAATTGACTCACCAGTAACTAAACCTTCTTCAATCATTGAACCGTCTACACAATTTAATACTAATGAAATACCACCTGTTATTAATACATGCGTGACCGACCCTTCTATAACAACTAATCCACATGTACAAACCAGCTCTGGCAAAAAATCTTCTGTTATTAAACCATCTACTACTAAATCTTCGTTGATAGCTAAACCGTATTTACGAACTAGAAGCAAATGCAAATTAACAGATTTATCAAAAGAAATGTTGACTAATCCAGATACATTGGATAGATCTTCTTCTACCTCTTCTGATCATCAGCTTGAATAAATATGGTGAATTTTCTTTTTTTTTTTACAATATATAACATATATGATGCTAAAATCAAATGATGCTAAAATCTACTGTTTGTAATATTTTTTTTAGATCTTTTTTGTTAGATTTTTTTTTTTTTTTTTTTACTTAGAATTAAAATTGTTGATAAAAATATATAAGTATATCCTAATCAAACTTGTATTTCAATCAAGAACTCATCATCTAATTTCAGTCATTTTGTAACAACATATATTGATAATTGATATTTTAGTATATCACCTAGATACTTATTATATTTTATTGTTATTGCTTTGATCTTTCATTATATATTATTTATTTTTTTTTATCTAAAAAATACATGATTAAATAAATACTGTAAGTAAATAATTTAATTTTGTATCTATCTATATACCGTATTTGCGCTTAATAGCAGACCAGGGCGTTCATTTGAATTTTAAGTACTTAAAAAATTTAGCTATTTAGCTCAAAATATCATCCATGTGCGTTCCAAAATAACGCGTACCCACCTTTTATGTAACTTAATGATTTAAAATTTAATAAAGCTTCAAACTGCAAATGCTAAATTTAATTCTTTTTTTTTTTTTTTTTTTTTTTTTAAGGTCAGGTTTTGCCTTTATCTTTATTAATAATTTGTGTTGAGAATCCACTAGGGGTTTCTCTGGTCTATAAGACCAATAAT